CACAGGTGACTCAGGTCCTGCTGAGGGTGGTCCTGCTTGGGGTGCTACTGCTGGGGGTGCTGAGCCTGGGCTTGAGGAGTCTAGGGTTGCTGAGCCTGGGGGTTCTGAGTCTGGGGGTGCTGCACCTGGGGGCGCTGAGGCGTCTGGTGAGCAGTCTCCCTGGAGCGGCCGTCTCCGTAGTCGCTCCGCAGGTGCCTCGCCGCTCCACTCTTGTCGTAGACTCCCTCTCTCCCCACAGCAGCTGCTTGAGTGGTACGTTGACCGTCAGGGTCGCGCTGCTGGAGCTAGGGGCCCTGCTGCGGGAGGCGCTGGAGCTGGTGACTCTGCTACTGGGGTTGTTTCTACTGGAGGTTTTGGAGCTGCTGAGGGTGCTGGAGCTAGAGGTTCTGGAGCTGCTGGAGGTGCTGGCGCTGGTGACGCTGGAGCTGGAGGTGCTGGCGCTGGTGGCGCCGGAGCTGGAGGTTCTGGAGCTGCTGAGGGTGTTGGAGCTGGAGGTTCTGGAGCTGCTGGAGGTGGTGGCGCTGGTGGCGCTGGAGCTGGAGGTTCTGGAGCTGCCGAGGGTGCTGGCACTGGAGGTTCTGGAGCTGCTGCGGGTGCTGGTGCTGAGGAATCTGAGTCTGCTCTTACGCGGTCTCCTTGGAGTAGCCGCCTTCGTACGCGTGTGCCTCTCACCTCACAGCAGCTGCACGACTGGTACGGTTGCCGTCAGGGTCGCGCTTCTGGAGCTCGGGGCTCTGCCGCTGGAGGTACTTCTGCTGACGTCACTCCAGCTGGGAGTGGTGCTGGTCCCGGAGGTGCTCGTACTAGACGTACTCGAGCTGCTGGGGCTGGAGGTGCTGAGCCTGAGGGTGCTACTGCTGGAGACCCTGGGTCTTGGGGTGCTGCTGCTGGAGACACGGTGGCTGTAGACCCTGGGACTGGAGGTGCCGGTTCTGGGGGTACTGCTGTTGGTGGAGCTGGTCCTGGAGGAGCTGGCGCTGAGGGTTCTGGAGCTACTAGAGGTGCTGGAGCTGTTGGGGGTACTGGAGCTGCTGGTGCAGGTGTCACTGTACAGCCGCGCCTGTTCTTCGCTCCACCGTCTCCGTCGTCTCAGCCACCGCCTGACTCTGTGCTGTGCCAGGTTCTTAGTCTCCCTTCGTCTACTGGTCTTCCGTTACAGCCTGGCTCACCGCTGCCTGCTCCTTCTCCTTAGACTGAGCAGACAGGGGGTCTTACTGAGCGTCGTGAGCCTGCGTCGCGTCCTGTCTCGCCTGTCCGTTCTGGTTGGTCCGGTCGTCGTGTTCCTCGTCCACGTCAGCCCGACCTCGTAGTCCGTCGTCCCTCCTCTCCTTCGCAGCGTGTTCCTCTGCCGTCTCCTCCTGCGTCTTCTCTGCCTGTCGTTGCGGACCCTGAGTCTGACCGGTTTCGTGCTGAGCACCCTACTGTCACGCGTCTGCTAGCCACTGTTGTCACTGACCCGTCGTTTGAGTCTGCTGCTGCATCTGCCTTAGTCGCTGAGATTGTTGACTTTGCTGCTGCCTGTCGTCTAGACTACGCCGCTAGTCTTGTTGCTGAGTCTGAGTCTGTCTGTCCTCCGTCCGTCGGAGGTGAGTGTGCTCTTGGCACGGACGTCCTTGAGGACAGGCAGCAGGACCTTGAGTGTTTTGCAGCCGCTGCGCCTCATCTCGTGTCCATGCTGCTTGCCCCTGAGGGAGACCCGGATGCTCCAGACATCCCGACCCCGCGCTCTTACGCTGAGGCGATAGCGGGTCAGTACTCCTCTCAGTGGCAGACAGCCATGGACGCAGAGATGGCATCTTGGAAGTCCACAGGCACTTACGTCGACGAGGTTCCCCCACCTGGGGCGAACATCGTCAGTGGCATGTGGATTTTCAGGTGAAGCGGCCGCCAGGTTCTCCGCCTGTCTTCAAGGCGCGTTACGTTGCACGAAGTTTCAGTCAGCGAGAGGGAGTAGACTTCTTCCAGACCTTCTCCCCCACCCCGAAGATGACCACTCTTTGGGTGCTGCTGCACGTTGCCGCTCAGCGTGACTACGAGCTTCACTCTCTTGACTTCAGCACAACCTTCTTACAGGGCAGCCTGCACGAGGAGATCTGGCTGCGCCGCCCACCTGGCTTCACTGGGTCGTTCCCTCCTGGTACCCAGTGGAGCCTCCGGCGGCCGGTCTACGGTCTCCGCCAGGCGCCACGTGAGTGGCACGACACACTGAGGACTACACTTGCGGCTCTTGCGTTTGCTCCGTCGACTGCTGACCCGTCGCTGTTTCTGCGCACTGACACGTCGCTGCCGCCGTTCTACATCCTCGTGTACGTCGACGACTTGGTCTTTGCCACTGCTGACACTGAGGCTCTCGCCTTGGTGAAGTCGGAGCTGCAGAAGAGACACTCGTGCACAGACCTGGGTGAGCTGCGCAGTTACTTTGGCTTGCAGATCACCCGGGACAGAGCACGCCGCACCATCACACTGACCCAGTCACACATGGTGCAGCAGGTCCTTCAGCGCTTCGGCTTCACCTGGTCCTCAGCACAGGCCACTCCTCTGGCTACAGGTCACTCGCTCTCAGCTCCACCTTCGGACGAGTCCATAGAGCCGAATGGTTCTTACCTAGAGCTAGTGGGCTGCCTCATGTACCTGATGACCTGCACTCGTCTGGACCTTGCGTACCCTCTTGGCCTTCTGGCTCGCTACGTGTCTCCTGGTCAGCAGCAAAAGGTGCACATGGATGCTGCTAAGAGGGTACTGCGCTACTTGTGCAGTACATCGGGCATGGGGCTCGTGCTTGGAGGACGGGGCGACGTTGTCCTCACTGGGCACTTGGACGCTTCTTGGGTTGACGACCAGGCTACGCAGCAGTCGTCACAGGGTTACACCTTCAGCCTTGGCTCTGGTTCGGTTTCTTGGCGTTCTACACGCTCGTCTTCAGTTCTCAGCTTCAGTTGTGAGGCTGAGATCTACGCCACAGCCATGGCTGCACAGGAGTTACGTTGGCTTACCTACCTGCTGACCGACTTGGGAGAGCGGCCTCGTTCTCCTCCAGTGCTGTACGTCGACAACAAGGCCGCCATTGCCTTGTGTCAGGAGCACAGACTGGAGCACAGAATGAAGCACATCGCTCTGCGTTACTTCCTGGCTCGAGAGTTGCAGCAGCGTGGTCAGCTTCGTCTTGCTCACATGGCCACTCGGGCCAACACTGTTGATATATTCACCAAGGCGCTTCCGTCTGGTGATCATCAGCGTTTCTGCACTCTGTTAGGCCTTGTGCCCACGTTTCCTCACTTGCTGTAGACTTTGCTTGTACTGTGATCTATATATATACCTGCATGCTTGCTCTGCTAGGTAGAGATCACTGTGCTGTTGTTTTTGCATATATACCTCTGCATGTGAACTGGCCTTGTGGCCCTTTGCTTGTGCTCAGTGTGTGTGGTGACGTTGTGATCCACCCTGAGCTTGCTTTGCTTCTCTTGACTGGTCTTGTGACCCCTTGCTCTCCCCCACTTTGCCTATGGGGGTGTGTCAAAGTATATGCATGTTATATATGTGTAGGCTGTAGTGGGGTATCCAATATGGGGTACAGCCCCTTTTAGGGTTTCATACTTGTACCCAACTCTTTCATAGTTCATTCATTCCTGCTGCTAGATTCTAATACTTTCAGCAGCAGCAGCTGTTGCCTTCAGTAGCATCTGTGGATGTAGCCAGGCCAGAGCACTCAAGGGGGTGAGTGGAGTCAGTAGGATATGCACATACGCAGCCATTTCACACCCCTGTAAATTTATCAGGATAGGATCGCCTGTACAGTACATTCCAGATACCGTTTGCATGGAGAATCTGGTGCTATTCTTTCCTGTCGTGAAATGACTACCGTACCTTCACCCTGCGAAACACAAAATCATGCCAGCCAGGAATCAGTGACATGACATCCTAGCTTCTGCCACTCAATCTGCCGAACACATGGCACTTACAACATTTGTTTTCATAACCAATGAATTCATAACAACACGTACACCACTGTACGCTCCTCTAAATCAAGCATCTTCAGCAATTATGACAACCTTCATGCCTTTGAGGCAGTCGTTGCCAGAGCTGCTGGTGAAATACCCTGTGAAGGTTAAATCTCCCACTGTAACCCAGACCATGGCGCGGTGTGATGGCCCATGAAGCACAGTGAAGGGATCGCCAGAAGCCCCAAAGTGGCAGGTTAAGAAGCGGTTGACATCCACTGCCACCAGGTTGTGCCTGCGCACCCAGTCTTTCCACTTGAACACTGGATTGGGGGAAAGCAAAGACACGTGCAAGGGAGAGCGTGTTGTGAGTCACGGACAGGCCCACCAGATTGTGCTTGTGCAGCCAGATGTTCCACCTGAACGCTGGGTTGGGGAATGGCACGTGCAAGTGCGAGGGAGGGCGAGCGAGAGATGAGTGTGAAAAGAGTGTGTGGGGAGAGAAAAAATGGTGTGCTTGGGGATCAAGAGAGGTGTGTGCTTGGGGATCAAGAGAGGTGTGTTCTTGGGGATCAAGAGAGGTGTGTGCTTGGGGATCAAGAGAGGTGTGTGCTTGGGGATCAAGAGAGGTGTGTGCTTGGGGATCAAGAGAGGTGTGTGCTTGGGGATCAAGAGAGGTGTGTGCTTGGGGATCAAGAGAGGTATGTGCTTGGGGATCAAGAAAGGGTGTGCGCATGTGGGAAGAGCGACGAAGGTGTGTAGGGGAAAGGGAGAGTGGGGGAGGTTGGGAGAAGGCTAGAGAGGTGTGAGGGCGGGGAGAGAGAGAAGTGTGAGGAGTTGAGGGCAAGAAGTGAATGTGCTGACAGTGAGAGGTAATGCACGTTGAGAGAGAGAGAGAGAGAAAGAGAAGGGGAGGCGGCAGCGGGAACAAATTTGTTAAAGAAAAAGCAGTTGAGCAGCTTGTTAAGAAGTTCAGTTGAACACTAACCAAGAACGTCCCCAGCGTAGACACGAGAGGCCTTTTGAGGCGCCTCAAAAGCAGTTGAACAGCTTGTTAAAAATTCAGTTGAACACTAACCAAGAATGTCTCCAGAGACGACACGAGGGGCTCGCCATGTGCGCACTCTGCGGCTCCAGCGGGTGTACCTCCACCCCACCACCACCGTCCTGGCGTCCTGGGAGGGGGGGGGAGAGGGGTGGAGGGGGTTTGAGGGGGGTGGGGAAGAGCACACACATGTGGGGGAAGGGTTGCCACGTGCGCACTCTGGGGCTCCAGCGGGAGTACCTCCACCCCACCAGCACTGTCTTGGCGTCCTGAAGGCACACAGAGGGCATAGAAAGAGGGAGAAGGAGAGCGAGGGGGAGGAAGAGCACGCATTGAAAAGAATGACCTCAGCGGGAGTACCTCCACCCCACCAGCACCGTCTTGGCGTCCTGAAGGCACACAGAGGGGATAGGAAGAGGGAGAAGAAGAGCGAGGGGGAGGAAGAGCACGCATTGAAAAGAATGACCTCTGCGGGAGTACCTCCACCCCACCAGCACCGTCTTGGCGTCCTGAAGGCACACAGAGGGGATAGGAAGAGGGAGAAGAAGAGCGAGGGGGAGGAAGAGCACCCATTGAAAATAATGACCTCAGCGGGAGTACCTCCACCCCACCAGCACCGTCTTGGCGTCCTGATAGCAAGGACCGGGAAGGGGAGAAGAGGGCACACATGGGGGGAAAGGGCACACATGGGGGGAGAGGGCACACATGGGGGGAGAGGGCACACATGGGGGGAGAGGGCACACATGGGGGGAGAGGGCACACATGGGGGGAAAGGGCACACATCATAGGGGGTGGAAGAGTCAACAAAAGGGATTCTAGCGGAAAATTCTCCACCCACCACCACCGTGTTGGCCCCCTGGCGGCTCACAGGGGAAAGGGGGGAGACGAGGAGGGGAGAAACGCACACACGCCAGCGGGGAACGGTGAACTCAAAAGCACCCCAGTGGTAGTACTGTTGGATGCACGTCATTCTGAGTGCATGTCATCCTAACGTCCTGCCGAGTGCTCGTGCTATTTGTGCTTGCATGATTTGCATGAGCGTATGTCATTATGCATGGCTGTTGGATATTACCATCTCTGTGTTTTTCTCCAAGTCTACATGCTTGATCATGCAGGAGAAATCCAGAGCTTTCCAACGATACCAAGATCGCCTTATTCCGACCAAGATCGCCCAAGTTACAAGAATTCCAAGACTTGGATTTCTTATTACCTTTTGGGGTTATATCTAATTTGGGTGATTACTTGGGACATGACTATAAAGGGATCTTTGGTTGGGTGGTTAGGGAAGGCAACTTTGACTTTTGGATTGGGGTGGCTAGAAGTTTCTAGCATGGGTTGCAAATGTTGCAACACCTAGGCAAAATCCAACTAGATTGGATTTTGCATGTGACACCTCAAGGACCTCATGATGAGGGTTGCATCCTTGCTGCTAGGAAGGTTCCTACCATCTTTCCCTAGCTCTTGGAGAACCCCTTCCCTCTCATGGTTCTCTTGGAGTCCCCAACTCCAACTTCCTATGCCCTAATGTTTGTACTTCCTCTACCATTCTAGTCATGCGGCTGCTGGACGTTTTCATATGGTTCTCACTCTACAGACCATCTTAATAACTGATTCAACTTGGAGATGGTAGATAAGCCTAAGGCGCAATTTCCTACCGAGCGGATTTGCGTTTAGTTGAGTAATGAGTTCGTCGTAAGCTCTCAAAGTGACGGATCTTGAACAACAAGTGGTATCAGAGCGGGTAGTCGACTTTGAGACGACGAATCGTCGTGAATTCTCAACCAATGTTGTCGAGTGAGACCATTTTCTAGTAGCTCTGCTCGCGAAATTTCGATTGGTGGTCGAACCGCGTTCGAATTCAAAGTATTCAGTCCGCGACGACGATTTTCGTAGAATCGAAATTTCTGGCAGAATTCTCTCCAAACGATTTCTCAAGTTTCCACCGTTCATAAGGCCTCAATATGGTTGGTACGAACTCTGGAGGTGCTAGTGGCGAGATGGATAGAAGTAGAGAGGCTGGAGAGCAGGGGGGAGTTGCTGGTGGAGGAGTGGGGACTCACCAACCAGCCAACCCTACGCTACCCTCAACTTCTACACCATCTCCTACAACCGTGGATCCTGTGAAAGCTTTCTCTATTGAGAAATTCATGGGGGAGGACTACGAGCACTGGAGCTTCCGCATGAGGCTGATGTACACCCAATACAAGCTATTGGATCTGGTGGAGGGGAAGGAGAAAATGCCGGAGTCCGCGGAGCTGAAAGGAGCGTGGATGAAGCGATCGTTCGACGCGTACATGCTCATGGTGCAAGCGGTTGGCGGGCGACAACTTGACCACATCAAGGACCTCTTGGGTGATCTAGAGTGTGGCCCCAAGGCTTGGAGGAAGCTTCTGGATGTGCACTCACCGACACATGCTACCGGCATCGTGCTACTCGCGCGGCGGCTGCGCGACATCAAGTTCGTTGATGGAGAGCCGATGCAACCGGTGTTGGATGAGATGCAGGACATCTTTTACGAAGCTCCAAGGTGGCGGTGTGGTGTACCCGGAGCACGTGCAATGCGTCGAGATCGTGATACGGCTGCCGGAGTCGTGGTCTGCCCTTGCGATCAACCTCAACTCTCAACAGCCCCAATGGAGCGTGGATTACATTCGTGCGCGCATCCTAGAGGAGGACCTGCGGCGGCGGAGTGTGGAGCGCTCGGAGGAGGGGGCTGGCTATGGAGTTGGAGGTGGAAAAAGTGGCTTCAAGAAGAAGTGGAAGGGCAAGAACAAGGACAACCCTAAGGAGGATGGCGGCGGGGGTCAAGGGGAGGTGTGCTTCTACTGCAAGAAGCGCGGACATCGTTGGCGGAAGTGCTACCAACGACCCAAGGACTGGACCCCGCCTTCATCAAGCAACCAGCGTGGTGGCACGAGGAGTGGGGGAGTCATGGGAGCTAGTGGAGAGGAGAAGGATGAGGAGAAAGGCGGCAAATCTGAGGAGCGGAAGGCCGAATTCTTCTTCTTCATGAACGAAGGCACAACCGACCTCGCTATGGCTGCCAAGGTTCTCCTACACCCCCTCACCCATTGGGTGATTGACTCCGGGAGCTCCTGGCACATGACCCCTCGTGCGGACCTACTCGATGAGATTCAGCCCGCACCTATCTCTACGGTCACATCCGCGACGGGCGCCAAGGCCAAGGTCATGGGCATGGGATGCGCCAAGTTCATGGGAGCGGATGGAGAGCTCGTGGGGCTGAAGAACGTGCTGTGGGTGCCGGACTTGTGCGCGAACCTGATTTCTACCGGCCGGTTGGGAGATGCGGGTGTGAACACCGAGACGATTGGCTCGGAGCGCTATCGTGCTTACAACGATGAGCGCCTCATTTGGGACCTGCAGTGGAAGGGAGATGTCCACAAGCGCATGTGGCAGATCCCGGTCCTCCCTTGGCGGAAATCGGGCAAGGCGGCAGCGGCGGCATCTATGGAGGAGAGCGTCACCGAGGAGGAGCAGCAAGGTGTGCAAGGAGAGGAGCTGATTGGAGGAAGCGCGACGGTGAAGGCGTCGGCTACCTCAGGCCAAGCAGATTGGGAGACTTGGCATCGGCGGCTCGCACACGTAGCTGTTTCCACATTGGAGGTGATGCACAAGGAGAAGTGTGTGCATGGGCTGCAACTGCAAGGAGATGGCGCTCACTATGGCAGCTGCGAGGCGTGCATGCAAAACAAGTTTGCGCGGCTCCCGTTTCCACGTGCGGAGGGATCAGCAAAGGCGCCACTGGAGGTGGTGCACATGGACCTGGTGGGTCCTATGAGGACTGAGGGGACTGGGGGAGTGCTGTACTTCCTTACCATGGTGGACGAATGGAGCCCTTTCACGTGGGCGCGTCCCTTGTCCAAGAAGAGCGATGCTGCAGCGGCGATCAAGGAGGATTGGTTGCCGATGGTGGAGCGGCAAGCGATGCGGCTGGTGAAGGTGCTGAGGAGCGACCGAGGTGGAGAGTTCCTTGGAGCGGAATTCACCAAGTTCCTCAAGAGAAATGGCATCCGACATCAGCTGACCTGCCCTGGAACACCGCAGCAGAACGGCATTGCTGAGCATGCCAACCGGACCATTGGCGAGGCGGCTAAGACCTTGTTGGGGGCTGCTGGGATGCCCTACAAGTTCTGGCCTGATGCCGTTCGCCATGTCATCACGGTCAAGAACAGGGTCTTGACACATGTTGGCGACAAGCATTGGGTGCCGTACGAGCGCTGGCTTGGTAAGAAGCCATCCATTGACATGCTGCGGGTGTGGGGCTGCATGGGGCTTGTGATGGTGCCTAAGGAGCAGAGGCACAAGCTGGAAGTTGCTGCTGTGTGGGCTGTCCATCTTGGGATGGCTCCTGACTCGAAGGGGTGGCTGATGTGGGACCCCTAGAGCAAGAGGACGCTGGTCAGTCGTGACGTCAAGTTTGTGGAGGACGTCATGTACAAGGATTGGCAGCAGCAGCAGCAGGTGCAGATTGGCTTGCGTCTGCAGGAGATTGAGCGGTCTGCAGTGGAGGAGGCTCAGCTGCACCTTGAGGATCTCCCTGGGTCAGAGCTGACCAGTGACCACAGTGGCGGTGGTGAGCAGCAAGGTGCTGGTCCTGCTGCGGAGGAGGGGTTGGAGGATGAGTCGGCACGTGTGGACTCACCATCTCAGCCCGAGCCTGCTGCAAACGCCAAGGTCACCAAGAGGAGTGTGCAGAGAGGAGATTCACCACATGGGCAGCAGATTGCAACCTGCGAGAAGAGAGTGGTAGCAGCACCCTCAAGGCTGAAGTATAGCCGTTTGGGAGGACCCAAGCAAGGTGCCATGGCGGTTCAGGCAGATGAGGGGGAGGATGAGGAGATGGCGTTCTGTTTCTTCACACCCTTGCCTGGAGAACCAGCCACAGTGGAGGAGGCACTCAGTGGACCCCAGAAGGAGGAGTGGAAGGCTGCCATGGATGCGGAGTTCAACAGTCTCATTGAGAATGGGACTTGGGAGCTTGTTCAGTTACCCGAGGGGCGACGGCCGATCAGCAGCAAGTGGGTCTTCAAGGTGAAGAGCGGAGCTGATGGTGCATTGGAGCGGTTCAAGAGCCGCTTGGTCGCCAAGGGGTTTCAGCAGAGAGAGAAGGTCGACTTTGGGAAGATCTTCGCTCCCGTTGCTAAGCCAGTAACACTGAGGACTTTGATGGCTGGCGCAGCTGTGAAGGGATGGCACGTGAAGCAGATGGATATCACCACTGCGTTCCTCAATGGAATACTGCTGGAGGATATCTACATGGCGCAGCCCGACGGCTATGAGGATGGGACCAGCCGGGTGTGCAAGCTTAAGAAGGCCATCTATGGCCTTAAGCAAGCGCCCAGGTGTTGGTACGAGAAGCTGGAGGAGGTGCTGCTGGGTGGAGGCTTCAAGACGTCCCAGGCGGATCACAGCTTGTTTCTGCTTGGTGAGGGGGAGCAGCTGCTCTTGCTGTTCTCACCTTCCATGGAGCAGATTGAGAGGACACAGAAGTTGCTGATGGACAACTTCAAGTGCAAGATGCTGGGGGATGTCCACTACTACTTGGGGCTGCAGATTGAGAGGGATGTTGAGAGGAGGTGGCTGAAGGTGCATCAGTCACACTACATCTCTTGTGTCATGGAGCGGTATGGTGTGACTGGGGGTCGCACTGTGATGACACCGTTCCCTGCGGGCTTCAAACTGAAGAAGGCAGCTGAGGAGGATGATGTACTCGAGGATGAGCAGCAGAATGAGTACCAGTCACTCATTGGGAGTGTGATGTATGCTGCAGTGCATACGCGACCTGATGCTTCATTCGGAGTGGGGCAGCTGGCCAGAGTTGTGCAGCGGCCCACTGAGGAGCAGTTAGAGGTGGCAAAGCGCTTGGTGCGCTACCTCGGATCAACGGCATCTGCTGGTGTTCAGTTTTCAGCTGGCGGCCAGCTGAAGCAGATTGGAGCAGATGGGGTCACGCCTGGAACCTTGAAACTGTCGTGCTTCACCGATGCCACATGGGCATCAGAGGATGAGGATCAATCATCGGTTGGTGGTTTTGTGTGCATGGTCGGAGGTGGACCAGTGAGCTGGAGGTCCAAGAAGCAGAGTGAGATTGCTCAGTCTTCTGGAGAGGCAGAGTACATGGCGATGTACCATGCCATCAAGGAGATCGTGCTCCTGAGAAAGCTGCTGGAGGACATGGGAGCTGAACAGCAGGGACCTACACCACTTTTCTCCGTCAGCGAGGCTGCTATTGGCATGGCCAATAATCCTATCCTGAATGGGCTGAACAAGCACATGAAGATTAAGTGGCATTGGGTGAGGCAGATGGTAAAGGAGGGAGCTGTTGAGCTTCACCATGTGAAGGCTAGCAAGCAGGCGGCAGATTTTCTCACCAAAAGACTTCCCGAGAGCGCACATTAGAAGTGTGCTAAGATGTGTGGCATGGCATTGCACTAGTGTGGGCAGCAGTGTCATGAGTGCATGTGTGAGAGTGTGTGCATGCAGTCCGTTAGTCTGAGGGGGAGTTTGTTGCATGCACGTCATTCTGAGTGCATGTCATCCTAACGTCCTGCTTAGTGCTCGTGCTATTTGTGCTTGCATGATTTGCATGAGCGTATGTCATTATGCATGGCTGTTGGATATTACCATCTCTGTGTTTTTCTCCAAGTCTACATGCTTGATCATGCAGGAGAAATCCAGAGCTTTCCAACGATACCAAGATCGCCTTATTCCGACCAAGATCGCCCAAGTTACAAGAATTCCAAGACTTGGATTTCTTATTACCTTTTGGGGTTATATATAATTTGGTTGATTACTTGGGACATGACTATAAAGGGATCTTTGGTTGGGTGGTTAGGGAAGGCAACTTTGACTTTTGGATTGGGGTGGCTAGAAGTTTCTAGCATGGGTTGCAAATGTTGCAACACCTAGGCAAAATCCAACTAGATTGGATTTTGCATGTGACACCTCAAGGACCTCATGATGAGGGTTGCATCCTTGCTGCTAGGAAGGTTCCTACCATCCTTCCCTAGCTCTTGGAGAACCCCTTCCCTCTCATGGTTCTCTTGGAGTCCCCAACTCCAACTTCCTATGCCCTAATGTTTGTACTTCCTCTACCATTCTAGTCATGCGGCTGCTGGACGTTTTCATATGGTTCTCACTCTACAGACCATCTTAATAACTGATTCGACTTGGAGATGGTAGATAAGCCTAAGGCGCAACTTCCTACCGAGCGGATTTGCGTTTAGTTGAGTAATGAGTTCGTCGTAAGCTCTCAAAGTGACGGATCCTGAACAACAAGTACGTCCAGCGCTAGTGCGTCCAGCGGTAGTGTGTCCAGCCCACCAGCACCGTCTTGGCATCTTGAAGCCATGCGAGGAGGGTGGAGAGGGGGCGGCGAGGGGAGGGCGAAGCACGCGCGCACACGGGGGTGGAACACTCAAGTCGAAAGGAACTTAGAGGGATAACCTTCAGCCCACCAGCATCGTCTTGGCGTCCTGGCGGCACAGAGAGGGGGAAGGGGGAGAGAGCGCACACAGGGGGGGAACTGGCGATTTCAGGACTCCAGCGGGAGTACGTCCACCCCACCAGCACCGTCTCGGCATCTGCCAGTCTACCAGAGGGGAAGAGAAGAGCGCACACACGGGAGGAGAGAGAGCGCACACACGGGAGGAGAGAGAGCGCACACACGGGAGGAGGGAGAGCGCACACACGGGAGGAGAGAGAGCGCACACACGGGATGAGAGAGAGCACACACATGGGAGGAGAGAGAGCGCACACACGGGAGGAGAGAGAGCGCACACATGGGAGGAGAGAGAGTGCACACACGGGAGGAGAGAGAGCACACACATGGGAGGAGAGAGAGCGCACACACGGGAGGAGAGAGAGCGCACACACGGGAGGAGAGAGAGCGCACACACGGGAGGAGAGAGAGCGCACACACGGGAGGAGAGAGAGAGAACACACGGGGGGAGGGAGAGCGCACACACGGGGGGAGGAAGAGCGCACACACGGGAGGAGGGAGAGTGCACACACGGGAGGAGGGAGAGCACACACACGGGGGGAGGGAGAGCGCACACGCGGGGGGAGGGAGAGCGCACACGCGGGGGGAGGGAGACCGCACACACGGGGGGAGGGAGACCGCACACACGGGGGGGGGGAGGTGTTATAGTCACAGTAGGCTTCAATGTGCCTAAAACGAAGGATAGAGTGCACAGCGGCTTTAAACGTTCATAGCGATCTGCTCACAACTCCAAATGACTTCATTCAACTTGGATCTGGAGCGCCTTAACGTTGCCTACACTAGGCAATTTTAATCAAGAATTGACGACACAGCGTCGGCTTGAACGAACGGCACTATGGCAGCAACATAGTCTTAGAACACAACTTAGGAAGAGTTAGCAAGAGTTACGAGTTGGGAATGACTCCCAGCTCCTAGAAACCCCAAGAGCCGAGGTACAGTGATGTGGAACAGTGCCACACTGTCCCCAACCACCAAGGGTCTCGAAACTACCCTTCACAAGGGCCTACACCAACTGAAATGTTACACTACACAAAGTAATGTAACTATCTTCACTATCTTGAGGTGTACCCTTTTGACGAGCTTCGAAATCTCTTGAAGCTTGCAACCAAGGCTTGGGTTCTTCATCACAAACTCATCCTCGAGTTCTTGATGGGTCTGCTGCACACACCTGCGACACGCCGAACGTTCGACAAGCGACAAAATAGAAACCGCGCATGACAAAATAGAAACCGCGCGGAACACACGAAATGACCGCGTTACACGCGACTAGCGATAACTCGCTATAGACTTGACACACATACACTCGACATCATGACCCATCATACACACAATATTATGAGCATGAAATATATATTTATTTCATGCACTCATTCCATTCCATGCACACACGCATGCACGCACACGGACAACAAGCCGAGTGCAAACTGTAGGGTTGCACCAACAGGAGGGAGAGCGCACAGACGGAGGGAGGGAGAGCACACACGTGGGGGGAGGGAGAGCGCACACGCTGGGGGAGGGAGACCGCACACACGGGGGGAGGGAGACCGCACACACGGGGGGGGGGGGGGGGGGGAGAGCACACGGGGGGGGAGGGAGGTGTTCGCGAGTGTTCGTTAGACCAGAAAACTCTGGGCGACGTATAATGAGCGTACCTTTTTTGTCCAGCCAATGACATGCTCGCGAGCCAGGCAACAGGACGTACCCTTAGTGAGGCTCGGAAACGGAAAACCAACCCCAGGAGCTTCGGTTGGCGTCTTGTCGACCTTCCAGATTGAATGTTCGCGGAGTAACGTTTGTCGTTAGTGCCCTTTATACGATAATTACTATCTTGTAACTCATAACTTGAACAGAACGTCAATGCTTGATTAGGTCCTTTCCTTGCCATTAGACTTTGTCAAAGCAGTGGTTTTTTATGTCGATTTTTGTATGGTTTCACAATACTATAACGTAGATACTCATCATTTTTTTAGATGCGTGCGGCGCACATCGGGAGCACCAGCGACCACATGCGATGATGACGCGTGTGGTGGTGCATGCGACGGTGCATGCGACGGTGCATGCGACGGCGCATGCGATGGCGTATGCGATGGTGCATACGATGGTGTTACAGGTAGTTCAAGAACTTTCAGTAAAGAATGCGAAGGATTCGAAAAAGGTGAAATTGCGTGGCGAGAAGCAGAGAGTGGAAAGTGATACTGCAGCTCAGCGAAAAAATCAGGAACCCGGTTTCGATAGGGTTGAAACGGAGCTTACCGCAAGAGCGGCAGTGCGGATGGTCGTCCACGGAGTGTCCAACGAGCCTGCAGCAACAAGCAGAGCTCTAGTCAGCACAGTACCGCCGGACAACACCGCACAGCACATCACATGGCGGCGCGAAAGGCACGGGTCATTGGAAATGCGAATGCGCCGCATTTGGCGGTGGCTGTAAGAGAGGGCTCGCCGCTAACCCGCGAGGAGAAGCAGCAGCAGCAGCAGCAGGCAGATGAACCCGGGTCTCCACTTGACAAATGCCATTCCGCAGCCCCCAAGTAGACTCTCAGTATATGGCGAAAGAAATAATGTATGCGACGAATAGAATAACGGTTAAGGACTATGTCTGCGACGAGTTAAACTACGGCGAGATATTATGTCTGCGTCGACTACTAGATGAGGACTAGAGAGAGAGTCAGAGATCTTGGGAGTGATGAGGTGTGACCAACTTGTTCGTAGCGTGCTTTGGCACCAGATACACCCTCATTCTCGGCCAGGGCTCACGGTAGCAGGGTGCACATCCGGAATTTCGTCGACATTCCGGATGTTTTCGTCAGAGATCCGGATTTTGAGGGGTCTGAACTCAGAATCATCCGGACTCATAAAGGGTATTTCTCAGAGACATCCGGATGTATAAGGGTGCTCCTTAGAAACTTTCGTGCCGGAATCGATTGGTCGCATCCCTGAGTGAGACTCATCTGCGTTCCGAAACAGCTGTAAGATTGTCTTGTGTTTTCGCACTCACAGTCAGTCTAGTGGGTGCCTGTTCCATTGTTAGGAACATTTTAGGAACTTGTATAAATGTGTGATTTTCTCGAGTACTTCTTCAAGTATGCCCTTCACTTGTATTATGCAGCAGTTACGACTCGATGGGCCAAAGGGTGTTTCATAGAGAAACAGTGAGTCAGGGTACCCCTTGATAGAATCCGGACCAAATAGGGGTGGCCTTTCTACGGATCCGGAATTTTACGTATGTTTACGTGGGGGCCCCGGAGGCATCCGGATCTCTAAAAACGAAATATTAGCCCTGTTCTCGGCCTCTGCACAATTGGGAGCCCTGGCTACAAGGCGTACTGTTGCTTGGACTGTTGGAAGTGTGGGGGACGGGATTGCCCCCCACACGAAGACCTCCCTTGACTCGGACCAAGGGAGAGTTTTTTCTTGGAAGGTTGGGGTGACGGTGGATTGTCCGCGTCGCCACGCAACCGAACTTCCCCCGGTTGGGTCCAAATATTTGTGGGGCCGACACTTGGCAGCCCCACATGCATGCACGAAAATAGCGAGAGTGGATGTTACGAACATTTCGCTGCACTCGCTATTGTTCCTTGTAACACACGATTGTCGGCGTGAAGAAATGAACCCGGCAAAGTCCGAAATTGTGAACACGGACGTCGTGGAAACTGGACGCAATCCTGAGTCCGAATTTCTGGCGAGTCGCGCGCGGTTCGATGTTACATTTCTGCATGTGTGTTTTAGCTATAAAATCCAGAGAGCAAAACAGAGAGTTTATTCCATTGACGACTTGTGTACCCACTCTTGCATAATATACAATTGCTCTCTCGTTACTTGGGCGATTTCAGTGATCTAAGTTGCTACGCAATCCTTGCTCTGAGCCCGTCGGATTGATTCTAGGCTCTGCCTCTAACTCGCCAAGTTAATTCTGTGGCGTCACTTAGAGCAGGACGGTTTCTTTCATGGACCCTAGCGATCTGGTGCTTGGAGCCGAACCCTAGGTAGGTGGCGGGCAAATGCACTCCATGGGGAACGGTACAAAACGGTATATAGAAATAAACTTGCTATTGCGTACGGTTGAGTGCGGCAAATGTGCTTTTATGGTATGTTCTGGGACCATTTTGGACGCACTGATGTCATTACAGCCGGCATGTCAATGTGGCGGATGTCAGTATGGCGAGAATGAGGGTGTAAGAAGTTATTGTTTGCTGCTCGCATGGGAATGCTCATGACAGGTGCGCTAACTCGAGTGGGTTGGGTACACACTTTTGAGACCTGGAAAAGAGGCTTCGGAGGCTCGGCGGAAGAACTAGCGCTCTCAGGACTAGCGGCGGCGCCGCTAGTGGCCACGTTGGACCGAGCCAGAATGACGCTGTATCACCGCCTGCAGGGCAGAAAACTTGCGATTTCTGGCTATTTCATCTTTCGCGTTTTTAATAAAAGCTTGCGGGCTGGCCTTAGAGTTGAATCACGTGGTTGTCCATCAAACTACTACAGGTGACTGCCCGGCCTAATTTCTGCCCGGCCTAATTTCTGCCCTCCCTAGAAAATAAAAGTTCAATAGTCAACCATCGAAGTGGATCACGTGATATGGTAGAGTACATCATCGCGACGCGGGACTTTTGTCAAACCACGGCGCTGTTCGATTGCACTTCGTTCAGAAGTACAGCCCCACCACAGTCTATCCGAGTCGGCCCTAGGGTTTCCGAACCTAGGGTCACTACACGCCAGAGTCAAATTGCTCTGTACACAATCTTTGTTATAGAGGACTCTCCTCTACTTTGCAGGAACTGGGAAATGTTCTAAACGATAGATCTCTGTCTTAGCTTTCCAACGAGCCGTCACACACGTCGATCGCCTAAGTATCCGCCGAGATATAGCCGTTCACGTGTTGGGTGGTGCTCTTGAATGCAAGTATAGAAGCTCTCTGGAATTTGTGTTCGAATGTACCTTGTACAAAGAACTCTGACTTTCACTATGTGATCAGTATGATGTCATGCAATACAAAGAAAACATATTTATAGCATGCAAACAAGATCGAGTCGCACAAGTAACCTCGAACCGCTACACTCGCGAATGTTCGAGTAACATTTCGAAGGGGTGAAATTCGACACTCGAATTTCACCTAACCGAATTCTTCTTCAGTCTCGATTGTTCTTGAGATGCCATGTGGCACCAAAGTGCAAGTCCTCCGAAGTCAACCTGCACCTTCACGGAACTTCTAGCTCGCTCAATCTTGAGCACCTAGAAGAAACACACTCAGTGGGTTGGGGGCATATCAATCGTCCCACCACCACCTTGCTTCCAACACACGCCACCTCCAACAATCTTTATTGACCATGGTTCAGATTTGACAGCTGTGGAAACAAACAAATCCCTCACAGTCAAAACCGCGTACATACCATGTAAAACAGCCAGCTACAAAACTCTGCATTAATGGAACTAATGGACAAAACGGGTACTAGTACCAGCTGCAATCTCTACCCCACGAGTCCTTTTAGCACAAAGCTGCTAACCCTCGGTCCAACGCCGAGTTGTTAGGGGCGTTTAAAAAAACAAAAAGACAACCCTCCACGCGTGGTTTGAGTGAGCTAACTACCCTTGTTGAAGGTTGGAGAAGAAGGGGGAAACTTCTTTTTACCCAGAGCTCTGCCCGAAATGTTTACACCTTCAAAGTGGAAACGGGGAGGCTGCCGTTGGTGGGGCCAGCGGAAACCAAGTATTTTTTGCCCGTGAAGTACTGTTGCTTGACCGGTAGGCAACAGTGTTTGGACTGTGGTCCGCAGCGAAAATTTCCACACCAAATTTGTAGGTGCCCCGAACCTACTTGAGGTTCTGGTTTGGATATGCCTAACCACGCGTGGGGTTTAAAGCCCCTGTTTGCAGCTGCCGAGCCTGTTCCGAGCCACGCTATACTTTATTTGGGCTGTAGTTACCCCTGGACTTCAAAGCTATCGAACAGGGCCTACTACAGGTGACTGCCCAGACTAATTTCTGCCCTCCCTAGAAAATTAAAGTTCAATAGTCAACCATTGAAGTGGATCACGTGATGTGGTACAGTACATCATCGTGACGCGGGACTTTTGTCAAACCTAACGTGGGTTTGTTCTTGGAACCGCGTGTACCATCCCATTAGGTACAGTCAGCGGAGTAGGAACAGTCATTGGTCCACTTCACCTTATTTGCTCGTCGTAGAACAAAGTCTACTCATATTCGGCTTGCTACTAGGCGTCGTTTGGAGGCAGCAGCTTATAATGAAGTCAGGATGAGTTGGCCCGAGTCGCTATCCCATGGCGAACCTACAACCGCCAACACTTGACATCAAGAACAATGCCATGAGTACCGCCTGTGGGGTAGGCAAACTAAACAGTGTACAGTATTGCGGAACAAGCTGGAGCACAACGTCTGTCCGTCCGTACACCTTCTCGCCACAGCCCCGATCTCACCTCCACCGCCTCACCTAGCCAGCTTTGTCCTGGTGTTTTTGTGCAGGCCTTCCACCCAGCCCACGAATCTTTCGGGAAACCCCATCTCCCCGAAGAACCGAGAAAATGAAATCCCTCGACACCGAGTCGAAGGCTTTCCGGAAGTCGACCAGCAACATGTACCAATCCTCATTCCCCTTTTTGGTTGCTTCAATACACCTTTCCCTCGCCAATTTCAACCCTTGAAAAGGGTTTACAGAGGCACCCTGGACCAGATTAGGCTGTACCTTTCAGACACCCAGAATCAAAAGTATATGAACTATGCTCCGCATCGGTGGTAAGAAAAAAACAACTCTCAGGGGATCAGGCGCACCACTCACTCACGCGGGCATTTTTTTCAGTTGCGACCTCTGTTGCGTCCACGTACTCGAAGGGAGGCTGAAACTTTAACTACTTTAAAATAGATATCGACCTATACAGCCTTTGGTTCCAGAAAGAATAAGGGTACCTACCCACGAGCGACCAACTTCAGGGGTTGAAATTGACGGGGGAAAGGTGTAACATCCGCGACCACTCCGATTGCATCCGATATTCTTCGACCGGGAAGAAAACCATACTGCTCCGCCGAGATTACCCGATGCCGAAGGGGTCTCATCTGGTTCGCTACCACCCACGCCAAGACTTTATAGGTGAATTTTAAGAGTGTAATCGGGCGGTAGTTGTCCAGCTTGTCCTTCTCCCCTATTTTGTGCAACAGAATAGTAACCGCCTCCTTGATGCTGACAGGTAATGAAGGCTGCCCGCTTGCTCCATACCTCTTTTTATGCGCTGTGTAGCCGTTGGCGCAGGAGGCAATGTGGAGGAAGATGGGTCTCTGCAATAAGGTCGGGCAACGTCTAGTTTACCGGGGGTACGCGGCGACACGACCTTGTTCCTGGAGGGGAAGCGGTAAATCGCTAGAGCGGAGAAGCTACTGGACTATTTCGCAGGTCTGTCCAGGCTGGT